CGCACGGCACCGCGCGGCACAGCGGGCTCGATAATTTGCGTCAGAGGGAAATAGCTCCGTGGCAAATGGGATGCAAATTAGGGTTTTGTTCTCGCCCGCCGCTTTCATTCCCCTTTAAAGCGCTGCCTTCAATTTATTTCCTTGTCAGCTACCTGGAGCAGCAGCGCTTGATGCCCAACTTCAGAAGCGGCCGCATTATCTCCAATAACAAAATGTTTTACATCGGCGCCGCGGAATTAATTAAGGCAATTAGGGACGAGCGGCGCAGCTCTGCCCCCGGCGCGGCGGGGAGGGAGCCCCTGGGATGCTGCGGCCCCGGCAGGCTCCGGGGCTGCGGGAAAGCGATCCGCGCTCCTCCGGAAAGCTGGGAGCGACGGGGGGGCCAGGAGCCCCCTCGTAGCGCGGAGGCGGCCGCTTGGCCTCACTTGGGCACAGAGATGCTCAGGGAGGAGGAGGAAGGCTGTGTGGGATCACGCTGCGGCCCTGCATCCACCTGGCGATGCCTTCCCCTTGCCCTTGGTATTCCCCGGCACAACCGTGCCCGCCCGAGCGCGGCACCCACCTGCTGCCCTTCAGGCTGCCGTCGTCCGAGACCGCTTTGGAGGAGCCTTTGCTCTTGGAGAGCCACGACTTGACCCCGTCCACCCGCTCCTCCAGCTCCGAGTCCGCATCCGAGTCGCCGTCGCTGCGGGAGGAGAGAGCCGGGGCGGCGCGGAGCCGCGGTGAGCGCGGGCAGAGCCGCGGGGCGGGACGGCAACCGCCGCGCACGCTCCCGCCGGCCTGCCCAGACCCCGGAGCCGGGAAGCAAACGAGCAGCTTCGTTCTTTATGGGCCGCCGTCAAGCGCAAAATTAGCGCGAGCGAGAGCTGCGCCGTTGTCCCCGGTAAACAGGAGTTTAGCAGCCGAGCAGAAACGACTCCGGCAAGGCGGGCGCACGAGCGCGGCGGGCAGATTTACAGCCCCACCGCGACGGCGAGCCCCTGATTTACGTGCGCACATAAAAAAAGCCGTATCTGGCTTAAAACATCTAATTTATAACAGCGCTTCGCAACCATATTGATTGCCTTTAGAAAGGAGGTGCCGTATGCATTGCAAAATCCATTTCTCCACGTTAAAAGCATCCCCGCATAAATCTCCGCTAATACGTAACTGCTCGCTGCTTTCATTAGGGTTATTGCAGTAACAGCTGTATCTATAAGGAAATCGAAGCGCTGTTTTTGCCCTCCCTCCCAGTGCTGGCCAGGGAGACGGCCGTGCACAGGCTCCTGCCTCCTCTCCGCCTGCAAACGGGTGCAATAATATGATTTTAAGTGGGTTTTTTATCCGCCTGGCCTTGGGTTCACAGAGGACAGGCTATTAGAGCCCCTGCATATGGATCCCGCTTATTAAATCCCAAGCAAGGAGCTGAATTTCCTTCCGTTTCTTCCTCCCCAGCAATATACCCAGCTTTGCTTTTTTTTTTGCCTTAAAAAAAAGAGGGAAAAAAAACCGAACGAGCCCCATAAACAAACTCCAGGAGCAGCCGAGATTTTAAATCGCCAGAATTAAACTCCACGTCAAACGCAATTTATGTCCAGGCGCGCGTGCCATTAGTTAACCGGGATGCGAGTCGCGGGGGAGCAAACAACGCAGCCGCAGCGGCGGGGGATATTAATTGCGCGTGACAACAGGGCTCCGATGGCCCTCGATCACTGCTCCGCGCGATTACATTTATCATTAACCGCTATGGATCCCGGCAGATCCGGCGGCCCCTTCCCGCGGGAAGGGCCGGAGGTGGCGGGATGCGGTTAGGGGCGACCGCGGCACCGTTAGAGCGTGCGCGGGGCATGCGGGGGGTTAGCGCGAGGGTTAGCGCCGGGGGCACAAGGAAAGAGGAGGTCCTCACAGTTTATTCTTTCTTTTCTGATATTTTGTCACCATGTCCTGCAAACTGGGAAGGGGAGGGAGGGATGGGGGAGGGAGAAAAACACAACAGAAATCAAATGAACTTAAAAAAAAAAAGAAAAAAGAGACCAAATGGAGGGGAAAGAAAGCAAATTAAATGACCCAGGGTGGGCTGGGAGATGGTGAGGATGGGGAGGAAGGAGAGGAAGGGGAGGAAGATGAGGGTGGGGAGGAAGATGAGGGTCTGGAGCATGGGGAGGAAGGTCAGGATGGGGAGTAAGGCGAGAAGGGGGAGGATGGGGAGGAAGGCAAGGAGGGATGGGAAAAGCGAGGAGGGAGAGGGAGGCAAGGAAGGGGAGGATGGGGAGGAAGGCTTTGCGCCTGGCATCCCTGCCCTCCCGCCGCCCTCCCCAGGGCTCCCTGGGCTGTTTCCAGCCGCCG